TGTTCCAAATGTGAGAATGCTAAATATTAAATATTCCACAATGGTTTTCCATAAACCAAGTTGTGAAGGCTTGTAGGCAAACCACCAATTCCCATAGCAGAGGTAAGTTCCATTTCAGCTTTTCTAATTAATCAGATTTTCTCTGTGGACTAGTTTTCTAACCAAATAATTCATTGGTTTTTATTTTCCATTGAGAAGAAGTACATGAAATGCTTTTTTAAAAAAAATGCTGGTCAGTCAATTTCTGCTTAAAACTCCCAAATCAGAATATCTTTTCTCTTGAGCCTATTTTTCTAATGAGCCAAGGCTTACTTTCCCTCATCTCTCCGGAAGATATAAATTAAATATAATTCATCCTGCCTTTAAGTGAAGTTATTTGCATTTCTAGGTTTAAACTTGCTAACCATGGCCTTATTTCCTCATGCAATTGCCTCACCTAGCCAACACATAGTAATAATAGTAATTAGTAAAAATAACACATACCAAGTACTCAGGATATACCATTTATTAAACATTTGGATATCTTTTCTCTAATTCCCATATCAACCCTACATGTAGGTATTGTTATCTGTTTTAACAATCAGGACAGAGAAAGATGCTTAATAACTTGATCAACATCACACAGCTGATTAACCAGCAGAGATGTGATTTAATTCATATCTTTCTGAGTGCAAAGTCTATGTACTTTTGTACAAGCAACTGCTCAGAAACCTATGTGGAAGCTATTGCTCACATTGTAACCTCAAAATCAAAAGGCTATAAATAGTTGTGTGGTGCAGAGGGGAAATAGAACTATTCTGACAGCCCCTAAGACTGTTTGTTTTGGGGGTCATGATCCACATTTTTCCACTAATCTACTACCCACGTCTGAACACTAAAAAATAAACTAAACGAAGTCAAAATATAAACAATGAAGTAGATCAATCTAAAACTTCTCTTTTTTAACTTAAAATAATTTCAGACAGATGGAAAACTTGCAAAGATGGTGTAAGTATAACCTTCACCCATTTTCCCCAATGTTAGCATCTTATATAACCACAGTACAATGGTCAAAATTAAAAAACTAATGTTAACACAATACCATTAACTAAAGTGCAGACTTAAACCAATGTTCCCACTACTGATGCTCGTCTCTGTTCCAGAATCCAATCCTAGACCCAACCTTGCCTTAGAGGCATCGCTCTAAACTGTGAGTTTCCCCGTCTTTCCTTGCCTTTCATGACCTTAACACTTTTGAAGAATATTGGCAAGTCACGTTGGAGACTGTCTCTCACTTCAGCTTGTCTGATGTTTTCTCAGAGTTTGAATGAGGTTGTGCACTCTTGGGAAGAACATTGTAGAGACTGTGCCCATCCCAGTGCATGGTATCAGGAGTAGGTGTTGTAGGTACATCTTTTTACTAGCAATGTTAACCTAGATGGCTTGGTTAAAATGATGTCTGCCAGGTTTCTTCACTGTAGAGTTACCTTTTTCCCCTTGTTATTAACAAATATGAGAAGAGGTAGATTCTTTAAAACAAGTTTCTCAAGCTTTTGTCCACTAATTTTAGCATTCATCCATAGACCTTGCCCACAACAATTATTATTGTGGTGTTCTAACACCAGTTTCCTATTTCTATCATTCCTTGTACATGTATTAATTGCAATTCTTCTGTAAGGATGAGCTGCCCCTTCTCCCTCTCTTTATTTATTCAGTTATTTCATTCATATCATTATGGATTTGTGGGTCTTTATTTTATTCCAGGGATTATAATTCCATACTATTGTTATTTTTGCTGCTCCTATTGTTCCACTGGAAGTTGGGCCACTGGAAGTTCTCTCAGGTTGGCTCTGGGCCTTTCCTAGGGCCCTACCTTTTAGCTTTATGAGCACGTCCTTACTTTCTGGCAACACAAGATGCTTCAGAGTCATCTCGTGATTCCCTCTGCCAGCCCTAGAATCAGCCATTTCTGCAATGAGCTTGTTACTTTTATTGGAGAATGTATTATATAGAAACCGATGTCACTGGTTTTAGGCCATCTCAGGGGACAGAACCTATAAATATATGTATGTGTACTAGCCCACATATATATACACTTATATTTATTTCTATATCTATGCATGTTTTTTTAAAAAATCATGAGTTCATATTGATATCTCTGGTTCCAATTCTAAACGCTTCTCTTAATGTTTTATTCACTATCTCCCCAATGAGAGAGTCAAGAGAAATGAAAAAGATTAATGCATTTAAGTCATTTCCAGTTATTGTCTAGGCAATGGGTCAGCAAACTATGGCCAAATGCCTATTTTTTATCAAACAGTTTTACTGGAAAAAAAGGGGGGTTTTTTTGGAACACAGCCACATCCATTACTTTGGATATTATCTATGGCTGCTTTCCATAGTTGAAAGAATAATTGAGTAATTACAACAGAGGTCACAGAGCTGAAAATATTTTTAATATGCTCCTTTACAAAAAAGGTTACAGATCCCTGATCTAGACTATGTTTCCAATTTTCATGTGAGAGATGAAATGGAAAGAATGTAGGTTAAAATCCCATCCTTTCTCCAACAATTACTAGCCACATGGCCTTCAGCAAGCCACTGGCCCTTTCTGTGCCTCAGTTTCCCTCTTCCTTGCAATGTTTTAGGGAAGACTAGAGACTATGTGAGTAAAATTTCTGGCACATTATAGATGTTGAACTAATGATAGTTAGAATGACTTCTATAGGTTGCTGTTTATAATATAAAATGGGATTTTGCACACACACATACCTAAACTATTTTGCGTGGTGGTTAGATGTTTAATATAGTGCACAGAATCTGTTTGGCATATAGGGGTTAGAGTTTAAACCATATTCCTTAACTCAAATACTTTTATCACTTACTAGCTGTGAGAACTTGGATAAATAACAATTTCTTTGAGCCTGTTTCTCCGTACAAGGATAGTATCTTCATAGACCATTAGAACTTATGCCTATGTGTATTTATGCCATGGTCCCCCACACTAAAAGAAGACCAAAGTGGAATGGCAGTATTAAAAGTAGACTCAGGATGTATTAGAATACCTGTGCCTGGCTCTAGACCCAGGATTCTGATTCGGGAGATCTAGAATAGAGTCCACAATAAGAGTGTTCACAAATATCTAGGGGATTTGTTGCAGGACCAGGTCTGAGAACCACTGTTAATCAGTAGTAAATGCCACACAAATCCTCTCTGTGATCTCATGTCATCCCTACATCCTCATCACTGTCCTCCTGCCTTCCTCTCATTTAGATAAATGCCAGGCCCATTAAAGGGTTCCTGCAAGTGCTGCAGGAAAGCAAAACCACCTTCTTCTAAGCCACAATACTGTATCCCTTTATAGGAGACTAGAGGCCCAATGCACAAAATTCAAAATTCATGCACGTGGAGGGGGGGGGGAGAAGGGGGAGATGGCGGGGAGGTGGATTGGTGCGTGTCCCCCTCAGCCCAGCCTGCACCCTCTCCAATCTGGGATCCCTCTCACAATCCAGGATTGCTGGTTCCCAGCTGCTCACCTGCCTGCCTGTCTTATTGCCCCTAATTGCTTCTGCCTGCCAGCCTGATCACCCCTAACCACTCCCCTGCCAGCCTGATTGATGCCTAACTGCTTCCCTGCTGGCCCGATTGCTCCTAACTTCCCTCCCCTGTCAGCCTGGTCACCTCCAACTGCCCTCCCCTGCAGGCCTGGTCCCTCCCAACTGCCCTTCCCTGCTGGCTATCTTGTGTTGGAGTGATGGTCAATTTGCATATTACCTCTTTATTATATAGGATTAGGTCCTACTGGACTCCAAGAACCTAGTAAGATTCTCCATGTTTCAGGAGAAAATCTAGTCTATCTCTCAAACATCCTCCTCCCTCATTATTCTCATTGCATTAGGTCAGTCAACACAAAATCAAGTACCAAGTAGTGTTCTATGAAGGGGAAAGGGGACAGGAAGATGGCCAGGAACACTGGTAAGAAAGAAAATTAAAGAAGTCTGAGGGGTCCTGTCCTCCTATCCTGACCACCTCTAGCTGAGCCTTTCCCAGATTGCCCCGTTTGGCAGTGGGACAGGGTAACAAGCAGATACAGAGCCTCCTAACCCTTATCTTGGATCCACAGCAGCCATGTGGAAGGGGAATCCCCAGGTAATGGGAGCTGAGGTGGAGATTCCTGGGGCTGTTTGAATGTTAGGAGCATACATCAATGTGACTGACACAACCCATTCCTGAACACAATTAGGCTGGTACATTACTCCAAAGGCAAGACTCCCCTGTTCATGCTTATGCATCAATAGAAACCAGAAAAAAACAGATGTGTCTAAGAGGAGGAATAGAATGAAGGCTGTCAAATATAGTGGGTCCCAAGAAGTGGCTTTCTAAGTATCTTAACCCTTCATTTGCCAAAGCTTATGTAAACTGAGGGGGCGTAAAATTAAAGTGTATATTTCAGTGGCATTTCATATATTCACCATGTTGTATAGCCACCATCTATCAAGTTCCAAATGTTTTCATTATCCCAAAAGAAAACCTTGTACCCATTACGCAGTCTCCCGTGTACCAGTAGCTTTTTGTAGTGAGACGTGATTTTGAAGGGCACAGGAACATTTTGTCTTCAACCAGGTGGGAGCAACTCCTGAAAAGGCCTAAGTAAGTGATAATGTTCTCTTCTCTTTCCCCACCCAGTCCAGTGGGAACAATGCCAGAGTCTGTCTGTCTGTCTGTCTGTCTCTCTCTCTTTCTCTCTCTCTCTCTCTCTCTCTCTCTCTCTCTCTCTCTCTCTCTCACACACACACGCACGCACGCACGCACGCACGCACGCACACACACACACACACACACACACACACACACACACACAGAGACACACACACACACACCAGGCTGGTCAGTTTCATGTGGTTAACCATCAATAACCATGAGAACAAGAGTGCATCACGATTATTCTGAGAGAAAACTCTTTAGCACTCCACAGCCTGAGTGAGTCCCCCAAATGTGTCCAGACAGAGGTCAGCTCTTACCCGCTGTTTCTCTGGGTCCACATAACGAATGCCGAAGTAGTCCTTCTCCAGCAAGCTGTAGTAGTTGCAGATGTGGTCAATGAGAAACTGCCCTTTGGTCTCCCTCTGCAAAGGAAACACATTGATGTTTCAGCCAGAGCTCACCTGGTGCATCCATGCTAACATGTGCCAATTCACCCCAATGGGTCTGTGCTTAGCAAAATGGATCCATTCACTCCAGTTCCTGCAGCTGAGGCTTCCAAATTCGGCCTACAATATGCAGTGAGAAATACACTACACACACACACACACACACACACACACACAACACAACACACACAAAAAAACACCATGAGCCATTACACACAAACACACCTCAAAGGAACATCATATATGCAAAACACTATAATTTGTTATATCTTATTCTATTATATGTCATTTAATTTTTTCTAATGCTATTTATAATGCATAACACTGATTTCACAACTCAATACCTAGTGGAAACGCATAGTTTGCAAATCCACATACAATGCACCTGACTGCTCCAACTGCTCTGTAGGTATTCATTCATCCACTATCCTATGAGAAAGGTCCCCATTTCACATCTGAAGAAAGGAAGGCACAGACAGGCTCAGTGACTTGCCCAAAGTGACACAACATCTATAGAGTAAGGCAGGATTGAATGCAGAACACTAAACTATAGAGCCTGGCTCCTACTGTGCCATTTCCTCTCCCCAGAGCATTGGTGAGTCCACTGAGACTGCTAGAAGGCAGGGTCTACATGGCAGAGAAACACAATGAATAGTATCGGACAGAGCATACCTTACAGCCATCTTATCACATCCATAAATCAACACAGAAATGCACCGTAGGAGACTGCGGGGAGCTCGGGACTGGGATTCAAAGACAAGGCCGGTGACCTTGACAAACTCCTCAGCAGTAAAATGAGTGGGTTGGACAAGGTGATTTCTAAGTTGGTTAGATTATTTTTCCTTCTAAAATTCTATGAGTGAGAGATGTGTCAGCCAGCCAAATCTGATGAAGATAAATACTATTACAACAAAACCTTTTTAACAGCAAAGACTCGCTGGAACCGGCTCAGTGGATAGAGCTTCGGCCTGCAGATTGAAAGGTCCCAGGTTTGATTCCGGTCAAGGGTATGTATCTTGGTTGCGGGCACATCCCCAGTAGGGGATGTGCAGGAGGCAGCTGATCGGTGTTTCTCTCTCATCGATGGTTCTAGCTCTCTATCTCTATTTCTCTCCCTTCCTCTCTGTAAAAAAATCAATAAAATATTAAAAAAAAAAAAAAAAAACACACAGCAAAGACTCTTCCAAGCCCTCATCAAGATATTTGATAAGATAAGTTTCTGCTTCAATCAAAGTTGCTGACAGACCCATGGAATGTTTTGGGGAATGGAATGTGACCTATAAAAATAAATGAAGAAACATTAAGCGAGCCTCTCCTCCAAATCCACTAAAAGTAATTTTGGAAGATCAGTTTGGTCTATGTTACATGGTTATCTTTTCATTAGAAAATAGTACCATCAGCATGGGAAACTGATGAAAAAGCCACTTGCTGGCCTTGGATGCACCACATTGAACAAAAGAGTGGGGCTTTTAAACCCAGATGTGAAACGAAATCTCAGTTTTCCTGACATCACTTTTGAATTTAATTTCAAATGAACCTTGAGCCTTTACTTCCTTTCTGAGAGAATCCATTTGATGTAGCACAAAAGTAACAAAACATCAAAAGTAAATTTGCTTTTAGAGTTTTGTAATTGTTTTTAAGCCAGGAGGCCCAGATGACAAAAAAAAAAAAAAAAAAAAAAAAAAACTAATGACAGCTAAAGCCAATGCCCACAATACAACAAATGAATTTAGTCCCTTTCACGGGTGTATTCTGTGACCCATCCATTTTAAAGAGGCTGCTGCATGATCAAATCACTGGGCATAACACGAGCTCATCATTTCAGGATGGGCTGTCGAAAGCTATCTGCAGCATTGACTATGGTGACCGACCCCCACTGTATGCAAGACAGGGTCTCAGGGTCAAGACAATGCCATGCAGTGAGGTGGGATTGAGCAGACCTTGATTTTTGCATGACAGCTACTACTAGCATTCTGCCCTGCAGATGTATTGCAAAGCACCACAAAGATCTTTTTTAATTATTAAAAAAGATTTTTTTACACACTCTCTGGCAATATCCCCTTAAATTACCTAAAACCCTTGACAGGAGGATATGTCACTGCAGACAATGTGGTGACTACAGTGTGCAAGTGTGGCAGAAGCTGGGATCAATGCCTTCCACAAAGCAAGTGAGGCCAGTTCCCACTTCCAGGCCACCAGGTGGGTTCTAGGTCCATTCCTCAAAGCCCCTCCTGCAGACCAGCAATCCCAAGAGCAGTGGCTCAGCAGCCCCTGGAGGGAGCTTGTTAGAAACAGAATCTCAGGCCCTGCCCTGGACCTACTGAACCTAACATGCATTTTTTTAATTTTTATTTTATTTTTATTACAAGTAGTAGTACATATGCCTCATTTTCCCCCATTGCCTTTCTCCCAGCCTCCCCTACCCACCAGCACATGCCCTTACCCAAACCCTTCCACCACCCCCCCATCCCAGTGTAAGATTCTTCGATTAGTCCCATTCTCATTCAAGTTTGAGTTTGAGCAGCATTGGTCTAGGAAAGTACCTTGACCTTAGAAGTGCAAAAATTGTGCCTGTCTCCAGAAGTCACTACGGAAACAAAAGCCACTTTTCCCTTTGAGTTTTCTGAGCTGAAGAATAGTCTTTCCCCACCTTGAGAGCACAAACTGCCCCTGCATCCACATGCTGCCAGCCAGCCTTATCACCCTGAGAGGCTTCACGTCTCCGCTCTGAGCCAAGGCACCAGCTCACAGACTCACATTCTATTCTGCTCTGTTCCACTCCTGACTGGAAATCCAGACCATGTTCTTAAGCCATTCAAGTTCTTATTGGCATTTCTGTGCACTAAACCCAGGTCTTGCACTAAACAGAAGGCCACCCAGGCTCAATCTGAGGGTTAGCTGTGTTCACTCAGGGACAAGTATGTGAAGGTCAGAAGTCCAGCTGCCAGCCCCCAACACACACCTCACTGCAAGGGAGGGCTTGGAGGAGAACACTGGTTCTGCCCCCACCTCCTACCCTTTGAACTCTAGTGACCTGAGCCAAACCCTCCACTTGCTTCTCCTGAGGTTTCTATGGGGAAGGCCACTGTCTGCTGCTTAAGCCAGTGCCTGGCACACTGGGTGTCCCCGAATGAATAAATGTAGCATTGCTTTCTCTCATGGAAAACCTGGGCTCTGGGAACTAACGGGGTACCTCAGACAAGACAGTCAAGTCCTTGTATTGGAGGACCCTCAAACATAGTGTAATTAGCCAACTGTCACCTAAATCCTGCAAGGTCTATGGGGAGAAATGATAATCAAAGTTTTCAAGTATAGGGACTTCTTTTTTAAGTCAACATTCTGTTGACTCTCTCACAAGATAGCAACTGAATAGGCAAAGGAATCCAGAGGCTAATATAAATTCTTTAGAACTGTTACCCAAGTTGTTTTTTATTAATCATAATATTTCACAGACATGAGAAACAGTAGGACATAAATATGTGAGCAGAGCCTCAGAAGGATGTTATGAGCCATGCCTCAGGCATAGACTTTTGATGCTATCTCTAAATGAAGCTATCTGGTCTCAGAAATGTACTGACATGGTTGATAAAAACAGTGTGTTCACCACACTTTTTTTTTTTACATTTTTTATTAAATTATTATCTGTGTTCATATTTTAACATTGCCCCCCTCCCATACATACCCTCCCCCCCAGAATATTTTGTACATTAATTTTGCTTATATGCATGCATACGAGTCCTTTGGTTGATCTATTATCTTCCCCAGATCTCCCTACCCTCCCCGCTATAATTCGACAGTCTGCTTGTTGTTTTACTGTCTCTATATCTATCTTTTGGTTCATCAGTCTATAATGTTCTTTATTATCCATAAATGAGTGAGGTCATGTGGTGTTTCTCTTTCATTGACTGGCTTATTTCACTCAGCATGATGTTCTCCAATTCCATCCAGGTTGCTGCAAATGATGAGAATTCCTTCTTTTTTATGGCAGCATAGTATTCCATTGTGTAGATGTACCATGGTTTTTGGATCCAATCATCTGCTGACAGGCACTTAGGCTGTTTCCAAATTCTACCTATCGTAGATTGTGCTGCTATGAATATAGGGGTGCATATATCCTTTCTGATTGGTATTTCTAGTTTCTTGGGATATATTCCTAGGATTACTGGGTCAAATGGGAGTTCCATTTTCAGTTTTTTGAGGAAATTCCACACTGTTCTCCACAGTGGTTGCACCAGTCTGCATTCCCACCAGCAGTACACAAGGGTTCCTTTTTCTCTGCAACCTCACCAACACTTGTTTGTTGATTTGTTGATGTTGGCCATTCTGACAGGTGTGAGATGGTACCGCATTATTGTTTTGATTTGCATCACTCAGATAATTAGTGACTTTGAGCATGTTTTCATGTGCCTTTTGGCCTTCCTTCTGTCTTCTTTGGAGAATATTCTATTTAGATCCATTGCCCATTTTTTAATTGGATCATTGATCTTCCTTTTATTTAGTTGTATAAGCTGTCTGTAGATGTTGGAGATTAAACCTTTATCAGTGGTAACATTTGCAAATATGTTCTCCCACACAGTGGGCTTTCTTGTTGTTTTGTTGATGGTTTCTTTTGCTGTAAAAAATCTTTTTATTTTGATGTAGTCCCATTTGTTTATCTTCTCCTTAGCTTCCGTTGCCCTAGGGGCAGTATCAGTGAAGAAGTTCTTTTGGCATATGTCTGAGATTTTGCTGCCCGTGGATGCTTCTAATATTTTTATGGTTTCCCGTCTGATGTCTAAGTCCTGTATCATTTTGAGTTTATTTTTGTGTATGGTGTAAGTTGGTGATCTAGTTTCATTCTTTTGCATGTGTCTGTCCAATTTTCCCAACACCATTTATTGCAGAGACTGTCTTGACTCCATTGTATATTTGTGCCTCCTTTGTCAAATATTAATTGAGCATAGTGACTTGGGTTGATATCTGGGTTCTCGATTCGA